TGCCAGATGGAAATGGCAATTATAAAGTGAAGATTTATTGAGGTGATAAGAATGAGGATAACGAATTTCCTTGGGAACAAGTGGAAATTGAACCTAATTATTGACAAAATAAAGCAATTGATTTTGATAATGCTAATAATGTGATATATTTAGAAGCGGAAAAAAAACCCCGCTGAACTACCGGCTGAGTTGTTTTTTCGGTGGCTTTAGCCGTGGCAGCGACCTTGCTAATTGTCTTTTGAAAAAAAATCTGAAGATGAATCAAAGGAGAAAGAGAGCAAGAGAAAAAAGTTAAAGAACAGTTAGATATTTTCTAAAATAAATTAATTAGAGTACCATGAAAAAAAAAATCCATTTACCACTTCATCAAATAACTATTACCTGCTCATATTGTCATCAGCAGTATCAAACGGTTTCTACCTCTTCTCGAAATATTTCTAATAGCAGTTGTAGCAATTGCAATCCCTTTTATACCGGAACTTTGGCTAGTCAAATAAATGTTGGGGCAGTGGAGAGGTTTCGTCGGCGGGTTCAAAAAACTAAGGAAAAAGTTTAAAAAGTCATTTAAAAAAGTGGTTGCTAAAGCAGAAAGTTATTAATAAGTATTGGCAAAATTCTTGGGTTTAACTACCTGATAATGAAATTCGTGAGAAAATATTAGGTTATTAAGAAGACAATAGTTTAGGGATTAAAAATTGGAATAGCAGCGACAGCGGTGATGTTTTTAAGAGGATTATTAGTAAGGGTGATGAAAGCAAGAAAGCGATTGATGATCTTATCTCCCAAAGAATAAAAGAAATCTTTGAGTATATAGCCAAAAGTTATAATATTTACTTACAAGAATGAAACTACGATGGAGATCATATACATTGTTTATTCAAAGCCCATCCGAACAGTGAATTAAGTAAATTCATCAATGCTTATAAAAGCGCTAGTTCTAGGCTAATTAAGAAAGAATACCCTAAAATCAAATCTGAACTCTGAAAGGAGTATTTTTGAAGTTGAAGTTTTTGTTTACTTACTACTGGAGGAGCACCCATGGAAATACAAAGTATTGTCGGAGACCAAATAGTTAAACAATATATTCAAAGTCAAGGTAAAAATCATGTTCAAGAAAAGTAAAACCAAAGAGGGAAAAATAGAAAAGTCTTTCAAGTATCGGCTTTATCTCTCTGAAATAATTAGAGTAATTAGAGTTTTCATTGACAAAGATTTAGAGATTTGTTGTCAGCTTTACAACTATTTACGAGAATTAAGGATAATCCTTACTTTTTAGAAAAAGCAGGGGAAATTTTGGAAGCATGAGCCAAAAAACTTTCTCGGAAAAAACATAAGAGAAATAAAGAGGATAAAACCAAGAGTAGCAAAAGGCATCAAAAAACAAAATTGGAGTTAGCCAAACAAGCCGAAAAAGTGGCTAATCAAAGAAAAGATTTTGCCTTCAAAGAAGTTAAGTGATTAAGGGCTAATTATGACTTCTTTGGAATTGAAAACTTCAAATCAAGCAAAATTGTTGAAAGAGAAAAAGTGAAAAGTAAGTGGTGTTCACCGAAAAAGATGTATGATAGTGCTTTATCGTTATTCCTTAAACTACTTTGAGACAAAGTGGTAGAAACTGGTCAGAAAGTAGTTAAGGTTAATCCAGCATATACTAGTCAAACATGTAGTAGATGTAATAAAAGACACCTAGTTAAGTTGGAAAAGAGTAATAGGGTATTTATTTGTGTTTATTGTGGATTAGTTTTAGATAGGGATGTCAATTCAGCCCGTAATATCCTCTATAAAGCACAAATAACGGAGTTTGGAACGAATTCATGAAACAGGCTCATGCTAGTCTGTAAGGATTAGTAAACTGTTGTTATTCTGAATTGTTAGAAGCCGCCACTTCTATAAGTGGTGGGTAGTTCATAGGCAAAAGAGTTAGCATTCACCAATTAGAGGCTTATTTAGTTTTTTATCTTTTTCTAAAAAGAAGGAGTGTGTAAACTTTGTGTAAAACTATATATATGAAAGGTGATAAGAAAACAGTTTCAGCTCTTCATGTATCCCACTACCTTCTCTCTTTAGATAAGAATAGAAGATATTTTACTTCAAAAAGGATGTCTCCAGAAGAAGGTTGAGGAACTAATCCGCCAATAGAGGGGAATTTTCGGCTTAATAAATTACTTCACATTCTTCAGATACTCTACTATGTAAAATATAGAAATTTTCTGTTTTCAGAAGATATGATAGCATACAGAAATGGTGCAGTAGTAGAAAATGTTAGTAAATCATTTCTTAATGAACTTTTTATTTTGAAAAGTTATTCTAGAGCCAACAACTTAGACCTCGAAACAAAAAGTTTTCTTAAAGCAAAATTTGAATACTTTCAAGGATATAGTGATCATGAATTGCAAGATCTTTCACATGAAGATCCTAGTTGGCAATTAGCCCGAGAAAAAGGCGACAATATTCTAATGTCTAGAGAGTCTCATATTCTCAATTACTGAAAAAATTTTTATCAGCATGTTTTAGAAGAAATAGAAGAGTAAAGAAAGGGGGATGCAAAGAAGAGTGGATGTTGGTAACACAATTGTTTATCTTGATTTAAAATACGAAGATGAAGATGATAATTTTAATACTGGCGAAGAACGACCTTTTCTAATTCGGAAGACCAAAAAAAACAAAGTTTATTTAATTCCGATCGCTTCTCAAGAGAAAAACAAAGTTTCTCCATTACAATACCCAATTTCTAGTCCTGAAAAAGAACTTGTTTAACTAGTAAAAAATATCCTTATTCTTATGCTAACCTTAATCGAAAAATTATCATTAGTTTTATTAAAGAAAAGGATTTCACGTAATGAAAGGCTTTGCAGAAAGAAATGTGTAATTTGTGTGCCAGACAAAATGTTTGGAAGGTTCATTACTCTTTATAAGAAATATTGAGAAAACCCTTTAAATGAACATGGTGAAAATAAATCAAAAACCATCGAATTAGACTTTTAAAAAACTAATATCACTCTTCCTCTAGTTGGGTAAAGAATTTGCTAACTAATCAAAACTAACTATTCTTTACTTCTAACTAAAAATATTGAATAATAAGACTAAGTAATTAGTCCATTGTAAATATAACTTTTTAGTTTCCCTCTAATCTTTAAATCAGTAATTGTCTCTCAGTAAACTTCTTTATTATAGTAAAAGTTTCGTAAACAAGAATTACAAATTTGTTTATCTTTTTGTCGTTCTGCTTTGTTTTTTCAGAAGTCAAGGTCTTTGGCTTCTGGATTAGTCCAGTATTCTCAATTATTTTTCTTAGAATAAGACTTATTAGGAACTACATACTTAATAAAAAAGTTAGTGTGACACTGAAAGTGCTTTACTTTCTTAGGTTGCGAAAAACCATTAGTATTAGTTTTAAGTCTTGGTATCAGAGTATATACTATTTTTAACCTATTCGCCCTTCACTCTGCTTTACTTCTTTTTTAAAATTAATAATATAATCAACCAACTACTAATTACCTCTTTTAATATTTAACTAATTCCTTATGAATACTAATAATATCTTGTTTTTCCAACCACTACTAGGAACTTAATCCAAATTATAACAAATTAGGTAGGATTAACTTATAGCTATGCTAATTTGCTTTTTACTATCGTTTTGACCATAGGCAATCTATATTTATAATTTTGTAAAAATGCTATACTACACTATTTTGTTATAATCATCTAATGAAAAAAATGGTGAAGAGATATTGGAATTTTGAACTAATCTCAGAAAAAAACTAATGACTACTATTCAAAACTTAAAAACTAATTGCGAAGATAACTGAATAGTAATTAAATCAAAAAGTAAACTTAGATTAGTTTAGATTCTAAATGATATCGAATTAACTGATCTAAGTTGAATTATAAAAAAATCCAAGTCATCCACAAACCTTATCAATTAAGTAATTATTCATTTAATGAAATGGGGTAAATAATCCATCATTTTGGAATTCTTGCACCCTCAAGAAAAGAATATTACCAAACCAATAAGTTTACTAAGTGAACATTTGAGTTATTAAAACTAATTTATAACCAATCCTAATATACTATTATGACCAAAATTAAACCAACCCTTAAAAAAAGAAAAGTGAACCTAGTAAGTAGTAGAACTAAGTCAGAAAAAGCACAGTTTAAAAAAGTCCTAGCAGAAATAGAAAATCCGCAAGATTGAGGAAATGGCTTCTGAGATTTACCTGCCAATGCTACTCCGTTAGAAAAAGTTAAATATGAACTCTGCGAAAAGATATTAGGTTATCAGCAAGATAATAACTTGTCGGACAAAGAAATTGCTCAAAAAATCCATTTAACTACTGGGGAAACTAGGGATATTTTGTATTGCCACATAGAGTATTTTACTTTGGATAGATTAATAACTTATGCGAGTAGATTATTTTCCCAGCAAGAAATAAAAGTAGTTATTGAACCTAAAAAAGATAACCTAAATGCCCGAACTGTTTAGATTAATTGAGGAAAGAGAAGTTGATAACGAATGATACTGAACTTATTCAGTAGAGTTTGAGTTTATTTTTAATACTCTGATAATTAATTACATAACCATCACTGACCATCCCTGAAAGAAAAAAGGAAGAAAAGGGATAAGTAGGAAACTAATTCTGAATATTCTCAATAAAGAATTAAACGGACACAAAGTTAAACCTACTAATTACTAACATATGGGTAATACTCCAACAAAAGGGTCTAAAGTGAATAATAACTAATGCTCTTTAAATTTATTTTACTAACTTTTAGGAGGGACTTCTATTTGGGTTTGATGGCGTTGATTATTAGACTCTTCAAATTTAGTGAAAATCCTTTGTTGAAATTGATTCTCTTCACTTTCTAGTTTCGCCTTGAATTCTTTTAAATCACTATTAAGTTTTTCAATTGAATCTTTCATTTCGTCTAAAGTAATAACAGATTTACCTTTCCAAATATTAAGAACGTTGAAAACATCATGCTCACTAAACAAACTTGTTTTATTCTTTTTTAAATCAAAAATATCAATAACTACCTTAGAAATTTCATTTTCTTCGTGATTTCAAATATCATTAGTTAGAGCAGTATAATATTCATCAAAAACAAAAATTGACCTTTTATCAGTTACTAATACTTCTTGGATCTTTTTACTATTATTACTTAAAGATTTATTTTTAAAAAGATTGTTTACTCCCTTCATTATTCCACCTACTGCCTTAACTGGCGATACTGAAATACTGGTAGTTATTAACGGATCAGTTATTTCTCCTACACTAGTTATAATATCACTTACATCATCAATTATCGCATATTTTCCAGTTGTATGTGCTTGTTCAAATTTGTTACAACATGCTTGTAAAGAATCAATGGTTCCTTGACGAAGATTAAGAAAGATTTTCTTGGCATCAAGGAAATTAATTGTTTTTTCCAATATTTCTTTATCTTTAGGGGTGAATTGTTTGATAGTTAGAAAATTTTGGATTTGCTTTTTTGAATCTGTTTCTATTTGGTTGTTTTTTTGTTTAATGTTTTTTTTAATTTCAATTAATTCAGCAATTAGTTCTTTAATTAACTGTTCATCAATAATTGGCTGGTAGGTAATTTGTTTGTTGCAACTGAAATCAGCGTCACCACCAATTTGCAAAGGACCAATCAAAACAGAGCCATGGACAGTGCCAGTAATAGTTATTTTTGGTATTTTTGTTTCTTCTAAGAACAGCATTTTGGTGCTAAGTTTAATCTCTAATTCTCAGGTTACTAATTCCTCACAATCGCTTAATATGCGTTCCATCTCGCCCTTTTCTTCCTTAGTTAACTTTTTTCGCAATTTCCTTTTAATTTCTTGACATTTTTCTTCATATTCTTCACATTGATCGCCATAATCATTAGAATCAGATTTTTGTTTTTTGAGTTTGGTAAATTCTAGGTGTGCTTTAATTAACTCTCCTAATAATTCTTTTTCGGAGGCAAAGTATAAGTAAGCATTAACTATTTTCTCTTTTTGGTTTTTAATTAAGTTAGTTAGTTCTTGAATTTGCAACTCTAGAAAACTAATTCTAAGTTTTTTTTCTTCAATGATTGCTTTATTTATTTCCAGCAATGATTTCATGGCTTGAAAATTACCAACAAATTCACCAGTTCTAACATTAAAGAAAACATTTTTCAAGAAGTCATAGATATCTAAATTAGGATTAAGTTTTTCTATTTCTTTTTTTAACCATTGGAAGTAAGGTTGAGATTCTTTTCAATATTTGAAGTCGTAGTATGGAACATTATGATATTGGGAGACTCCCACCTTTACCTTATCTGTTCATTTTAACTTGAAGCTATCATCGCTTTTTACCAGTTCTTGGGAATAAACAGAAGCAATTTCAACTAAACTCTTTGGCAAGTATTCAAAGCCTTCTTTTATGTCTGTGTTAGCGACAGCTAAACTTACTAATTTATTCAAATTTCTTAAACTTTGTGCACTTCCGCAAAAACGATTATTTGTTATTCTTAGTATCTCCAGATTTCTAAACTTGTCGAAAATATTTATGTCCTGAGAAGGGAAATTGTTGTTATCGAGATGTAGCCTAACCAACTCAACATTGTTTAAAGAACTAAGAAAATCTAAACTAGTAAGAAAATTATCGTGAACCCGGAGATGAGTAATTTTTGGACAATCACTGATAGTGAAATTAACGAGTTTATTAGATGAGGCATCAAAGTGAGTAAGTTTAGGTAAATTATTTAGTGTCACACTACTAAGTTGATTTTTAAAGCAATCTATCTTTTCTAAATTAGTAAAGTTCTCAATGGTCAGGTCACCTCCCAAACCCCTCCTGCTAAATTCTAATCAGGTTACTCAATTTTTCCTTTCTTGATTTGAATACTCTTCGTCTAATCATTTTTGAACACTTCTGTCTTGTTTTCTAAGTGCTTCTCAATTTAGGTTTTTTTGTGAATTATAATTTTTCCATCTTAACCAAGCAGCAAAATGGTAATCGTCAGGTTGTAGTCCTATTTTGACTCATTTCTCAGTTTCTCGGCGATCAAACCCTAACCTTTCTCATTCGCCTTGTTTTTGCCAATTAAAGGTGGGATGGATGTTTCTTCAATCATCTTTGTTTTCCCTTTTGGAACTAGCAGGAAGATAAACATCATCAGCATTCTCAACATCAGTATTTTGAATCTGAAACCTTTCAAGTTTAGTCAAGCCATCTAAACATTTTGGAGAACCACAAAAGCGGTTATACACTGCCTTTTTGATCCTTTCCCTATCGTAATTACCGACTCATAAGTATTCTAAATTAGTTAAATGCTTAAAGCATGACAAATCTTGTTTAGGAAGGTTATTGCTCAGCATGCTCAATCATGTCAATCTCTTAGGATTCAAAGAGTAATAATCAAAACTAATCAAGAAGTTGTTATCACAATTAATTTTTTCTAGACGAGCCAGGCCAGTTAAATTCAAATTAACTAGTTGATTGTAGGAACAATCCAACTTCTCCAAATTACAAAAATCTTTTAGATTTAAGGAATCTTCTAAATTTTTATTACTAATGTATAAATTCTTTATTAAACTTCTACTTTCCTTTGGGTAGCTATCGTTCAACCATTCTTGGGCTTGGAAAGTTCAGAAAATATTATGCTTGCTAAGTTTTGGAAATTTACTCAAATCTAGAATTTGGCTTTTTAACTGATCTCTACAACATTCCAGCCTAACAAGTCCCTTGCATCCTTCCAAATCTAAAGAAATAAACCTATTATTTATGCAATTAAGAATAGTAAGTTCCTGACAATTATTTAAATCTAACTTCCTCAAATTATTATTAGAACAGTCCATTTCTCTTAATTTTGAACATTTACTAATATTTAAAGAAGTAATTTTATTATTAGAACAGTCCAACTTTTCTAGTTGAGAAAATTCTCTTAAGTCTAAGTCTCCCTCTAATTTTTTGCTTCAGATTTGTAGTTTTGTTGTTTTTTTTCTTTTTTCTTTAGTATTATATTCTTCTTGGCTTTCTAGTCACCCTTGAGCATTTACCATATACTATAATTTTGTTTATAACTCTTGTTAGGAATTTTTTAATTAAGTTTCTTCCACTCATCCATCCCCAAACTCTTCACTATTATAAACTTTCTTATGATTAGAAGGAATTTTATTCTCATCCTTCACCACTCTAGCAACTACTGCACTATCGTTATAAATTTTCCCTCGTTCAACATTAGGAAATCTTAAACTAGTTTTGTCTATATCTATTCCTAAGTAGTCTCCAACTTTATAGTTGCTAAAAGGAGGTTGATTGGCTAAGAAGAGTTTATTAGCAGTAGTTTTTTGTAAGTAAGGAATATCTTTATGTAAAGTAAATTCAATAGAGTTATAAGAACTAGACTCTTTACCTATGATTTTATAGATTTGAATGTTTTTACCTAGAAGTTTCATATAAGATAATTTTATTTATTAAAAGGTTTGGTAGGGATTTCTTGGTGGGATTTGAATTGTTGTTCTTGCTTGATTTCTTCTGCTGTTTTAACTTCACTTGTAACTATCCTATAACTTTCGAGGTCTTCGGTTAAATCATTAATTTCTTGTTCGGAGGTTTGTTCAAATAATTCAGTAATTCCTTTAGTATTTTATAGGTTTACTACTCCAAACCATTCCACTAGGAGGTTGGTAATTAGGGCATTTAATTTCATCTAGTTAAAGTTTCATTATAGTTTTTGCCTTCTTTATATTAGCGATAGAATTCGATGTCTGTTTTTAAATTTCAACCAGTTTCATCAAAACAACCCTCTACTATTCGACTTTCTTCTCTAGCAGTAGGTCTATTATTGGATTCCTAGTCTTCAGCACTTCTTAATTAAATCTACTAATATTTGGCGATATTTAACTTGTTTAGGAAACTGAGGTCTTCTAACTCCTTGACAAATTTGCAGAGCAAGGTTAACATTATGTTTCTTGGTTAGCAAAAGGAGATAAACCAGTAAGTATTTCATACATAATTATATCTAAGGAATAAATATGAGATCTTTCACAACAAAAAGATAAAAATTAAGATTATTACCCTATCTAAAATTGTGTTAACAATTTTAGACGCAACTCAATAAAATAAAGCAAAGCAAGAACTAACTTATATTCTCCAAAAACCTTTTATTGATTGCTACCTAGGAAGAGTTTCAATTTTATTTTCTAATTGTTGATAACCTTGATATTCTTCATCAAATTCCCGAAAACTTGCAACAAGAGAATTAATAATTTCCTTGATTTTTGTGTTATCAAAATAATTGTTTTCTATTCCTTCTCTAAATGCTCAATCAGGAATAATCTTGCAGATTTTATGTCTATCATTGAACAATTTTAGTTTATCGTTCTTCCATCCTAAAGATTTGATGAATTCACTTTCAGTATAATGACTAGTTATAGAATTACAGGTTTCATTAAATTGATTTGTTTTTTCCTCATCATTTTTTATTATCTTTTGAACTTTCTCTACACTTTTAATATGAAATTCTACTTCTGAGATTCCCTTTAAGAGTTCAACTGCATCCATTGCAGCCTTAACAAGATTGATTCCCAACTTTTGAGTAGGATTAAGAGATGAGGATATGTTACTGATTCCCTTACTTATTTTTTCTTTTTTGGCATTTTCAATGTTAGTAGTTCATTCTATATCATTAAGACATTGTATCAATCCTTTAATAGTTTCATAACGCATAGCTATAAATTCTTTTTGTGATTCTTTGAACTCAATTATTTTTAAAGGCTTAAGTTCGTTTTTTAGCCATTCTAATAATTTATTTTTATCTTCCTTGTTTTCTTCTAATTCTTTTGATAATGAATGAATTACTTCTTCAATTATAAATATTTCTCTTCGTATTTTTTCTTTTTTAATTGTTTGACAATAATCTTCTAATTTTTGTATTTTTATGTTTAATTCCAGCGAGGATAAAACTTCTTTAAAGTTCGCTTCAATACAATCAAATCTCTCAATTACTATTTTTTTGCGAAATTCTTGTTCAAAACTTTTCAATATTTCAAGTTCTTCAGAATAAATTTTTTCTATTTTCACTTTTTTTACCTTAAACATGTTTGAAACCTTGCTCGTCTGCTTGTCAAGGTCATAACCCTGATGTTTTTTTATTTTAGAAAGCAAAGAACTACCAAAGGTTTTTTTTTTGCTTTCGCTAATTACACCTTCTGCCCAACTTCTCATATCAGATTTTATTGCTTCTACCACCTCTTCAACAATTTTTTTACCCCTATTCTCTTCATCAATACGTTCCAAACACCTTATTTTATCATTCACTAATTTTTCTTCTTCCTCTTTGATTTTCATCTCTATATAATTTTGTTCGATTTGTTCCCACAATATAGTCAGTCCTTTTAGTTCTTCTTTTGATAATTCACCTAATTGATTACTTTTTGAGGAAGAAGATTGGGAAGTTTCAGTTTCTTTTTCTTGATTTTTTGCTTGATTTTCTTGCGGTGCCATAGTTAATAATTGTTACTTAGGAAGGATTTCAACTTGAACTTCTTGCTCTTGTTCTAATTCTAGTTTTTCTTTCAGTTCACTCGCGTTAGATGCCTCAATGTCTTTTTGTTCCTGCAAAATTTCTGGCAGTTTGATAACTTCTTCCAACTGAATAATTTTCTTTTGCTGCTGGCAGATATTTTCTAACATTTCCTTTTGCTCTTCATTTAATTTTTTCCCAAGAATATTTGCTAAATCTTCAAAACTTTTTTCAACCAAAGTATCACTTTCTAGTCTAACAATATTAGCTTGAATCTTTAGTAGCATTTCTAGTATAACTCCCAAATCATCGCTCAACCCTAACTTTTTTTTCATCTCGTTAAGTGAATCTTCTAATTCGCTTTTCTTTCTATTTAGTTTTTCTGTCAAAGACTGTTGGCGTAACTCCTCTAATTCTTCATCTTTTTCAACTAATTGTTTTTTTAATTTATTTATTTCTTCTGTGCTTCTTTCTTCCCTGCTTTCATCATCTTCTATTTCTATCAACTGAACTCTTTGCTTTTTAATAGTTTCTCCTCTAACTTCTAGTAAAGCAATTTTTTCTTGTTTTTCGCTAAGTTCATTTAACAGTTTAGTAATTTCAGAGTTCTCTTTTTCTCCTTTTAGCAATCACTTCTTTGCCTTTTCTCCTACAAATTTAAATTCATTATCATCCTGTCGTTTAGTTGAATCTAAGTAAATTTTTAGATTATCTTGTAACTTTTCTTTTTTTTGTCGCTGTTAAAAAAACTCATTTTACTTTTAACAAACTCCTTTTTCATTTCTTCTAGTTCATGCTTTTTTTCTTCAATTATTTTTTCTATTTCTTTAAACTTATTTTTCGGAAGTTTATAGTTTTCTTTTTTTTGAATATTTTGTAAGTTGTTTAGTAATATTTTTCTTGATTTCTCCCTTTTCTTTTTATTTATATTAAATTTATCCTCATCATCAACATCTAAGGTAGGGTTATCCACATGAACAACTCTGCCTTGGCAAGAATTGATTATTTCAACTGATTTGTCACCTCACTTAATCATCGATTCAATATCCTTTTTACAAGCTTCTTCATTTATAAAATTAGGAAAGTTAGTGCGAACTATGGTAATATACTTAGTAATGCCTTCGCCAAAAACTTCTTTTAGTGAATGAAAAATAGTTACTTCTTTTTCAGTAATTTTCCCCCCGAAAACAAAAAGAATTTGACTTATACCATCTTTTATTGAATAAACTGCCTCGATTATTTTGTTTAATATTTCTTCAATAGGTAATAAGGTATGGTCAAAACCAGGAGTGTCAATTATTCGATATTTAATTCCTTCATACTCAAACTCCTCTGTTTGGATATCTCTAGTTTCGCTAATAGCACTATGACCTTCCTTAAACTTATCAGTTCCACTAATTACATTAACTAAAGTGGAACTACCGCTGCTTGTTCTACCAATTAGGAGAATGTTTTTAATATCGTTTTTTTGAATTTGAGTTTCGTAAGATCCATCCCTCACTTCTATTAACTTTAGGTCTTTTGATAATGCTTCTTGCTCTAAATCAGTCCCTTTAATATTCAGTTGCTTCAAATCATTTGCTTCTTTTAAGTATTCTAAAGAACCATAAATACCAAAATTATTAGAAACATCTAGATTTTTCAATTTATTCAACTTTATCAAGGGTTCTAAGGTTCCACCAAAACTGTTTCCTTTAATACCTTTTTCACTTCTTCATCTTTTTAGTTCGAACTTGTCAACCAAACCATTTTCCAAATAGAGATATTCTAAATTAATAAATTCTGCTAAAAAATCTAAATCTTGAGGCCTTTTGTTCAGTTTAGTATTAAGAACCTTTTTATCATACTTAGAGATATTATTATCCGAAACATCCAGATGAGTTAATTTTTCCTTGGTTATTTTTGATAGGTCAGTTAAAAAACTTATACTATCCAATTCATTGCACGAACAAGCAAGTCTAGTTAGACTATCGCAATTATCTATTTTTAGTTTGGTTAACTCATTTAAACTACAATTGATTTCTTTTAAATTAGAACAATTACTAATACTAAGTTCACTAATCTTATTATTAGAACAATTCAATTTTTCTAGATTAATAAATCCCTCTAGTTTTAATCCTTTTTCCAATTCTAATCCTCTTATATCAAGTATTTTTAAGTTTTTTCTAGTTTCTGTAGGATAATTCCTATCCAAATACTTTTGTGCATCTACCATAATGTTAATTTTACTCTTTTTCTCTTAGAAAATCTCTAATCTACAATTCCCTTTCTAATTCTTCAACTCTTCTTTTTAACTGTTCCGCTTCACTGCCTGCTTGAAAATATCTAATTATTCCAATTAAACTATCAATTACTCCTCATATTCCAAACGCTAAAGAGAGATAGAAAATATACTTGTAATTAGGATTATGTTCATAAAGTTTAGCAATCTCTTCGGCTAGAAAATACTTCTCAACCGCATAATAAGCCAAAAAAGAACCAAATCTAAATAAACCACTTCAAATGGAGGATAAAGCACTTAATTTGGCTCGCAAAGCATCCTTTCATGCTTCTCTAACTTTTATGTAATTGATTATTTGTCTATTATTCATATACTTTTAATATTTTTTACTTGGTTTTTTTCTAATTAAGAAGTAAACGATTACTCCTACTATTGCTACTCCAGCAATTATCAGTAAAGCAATAACCCCCTTATCCATTCCTTTTCCCTTGTTAGGGTTATTGGAACTGTCTTCTTTTAGTTCTCCGTATTTATCTTTATAACTATTCTCAGCATTTTGTAAAGTATTCTGTTGTAAATTTCTTAAATAATTAGCCTGTTGCCTTTCTTCTGGTGTTAGATTAGACTGATTGTTTAGCCTTTGTTCTAAAGATTGAGAATATTCTCTTCAATACAAAACTTATCTCCTTAAGCCTTCTCTTTCTCAGTTGAAATTAGATTGATTACCTTGATTAGAAATATCTAACTGAGGAGGAAATAAAACTACCCTAGTTAATCTCTGAGCCTGTTCTCAACCTAATTGTCGATGAGTGACATGACACAATGATGAGCAAAATGCCTTATGAATTTCATAGTCTAGCACTCAACCTTTATTCAGGTCAGGCCATTCTCTCTTACCACAGTGATCACAGTTTCGCTCGCGTTCCTTTTTAAACTGTTCGGCACAAGGGCAGTTAGTTCCAAATCAGTGGACTTCCTTGCGAAAGTCTGTGTGATACATAGTTATTTTTCTTCTCTTTACTGTATAATTAAGGATATTGCCTGTTCTTTTCTCATCGAACCGACAAGAAATTTTACACCTTTCACAAATTTCATCAGATTTAGGAGGTTTATCACCTTTGTCAGTAGGTTTATCTTGAGGCCTTTTAGAACAATAAGGTTTGTGATTGTCTAACGGATTCAAACACTCTGAACACTTTCCAGTTTTACTCTCTCTCTCTCTGCTATGCACTTCTTACATTGTATTTCTTTTATAGTTTTCTTTTCACCACATTTACATTGATCATATTCTTCTTGTTCTTTTCCTCCACAGCAATCAGCATGAACAATTCAGCCACCATTTCAGTTGTTTCCATCCCACTCTCAAAAAGGTTTTGAAGTTTTACCACATTTGCAATAAGCTTTAGCATTGGGATCATAATTAGCAGGCTTTCATAATTCAGATCGGCATTCATGGCAAGATTTAGTTTCAGGTTTTCCTTGCTTATGATAATACTGGGATGCTTTTTTACCACAAAAAGAGCATTTATCTTTGTCGTTAGTGTTTAAATCATCACTACATTTTTTACAATACCACTTGCCATCCTTTTCATAATGTTGTCCTGTTCCTAAAGTTTGCTGGCATCCATCACACTTACAGCAGTTTTCACAGTAAGATTTACCATCATCTGTAGTTGCTCTAGGTTCAGTAGCACCAAAGACTTTTTTGCATTTGTTACAAAACTTATCCATAATACTTTAATTTTATAATATTTTAGTAATTTATTTTTTCCCTTAGCTATACAATTGTATTTAAATGATTTATTGTTATGAATTTTTGATTAAAATAAACTATATGGTAAAAGCACAAGAATGATTGGACAAAGAATATCCTTATTGAAAACGAGGGGATTACGAAGAATTAGTTATCAGTAATCAAGGTCTAGAAGGTTCGCTAAAGATGGATGGCTTTATTAATTTAAAGAAGTTTAATTGTTGCGGTAACAAAATAACTAGTTTAGATTTGTCAGGTTCCCCTAAACTTGAAGATTTGCAGTGTCATAATAATAACCTCGATGACTTACAATTTCTAAACTATCTAGATCCAAAAAACTTAACAATATTGAAGATTTCTAACAATGACTTTCCTTCTACTGATTTGTCTTGTTTTTCAAAGTTTTCTAAGTTGAAAGAGTTATGAATTGGAACTTGAGAAACAGAAAGCATTCGCAATGGAAAATTCAATCGCTTTTATGGTTCTTTAAAAGAGTTAAAAAATCTTGAAGAGTTAAAATCACTGGGTATCAGTTCTACAGATGTTAGTGAAGAAGGTCTAGAATTATTGCCAAATTTAGAGAAAATCTATTGTCAAGACTATGGTAGGAATGCAAAGGTAAAAGTTATACACGACCTACTTGCTCCTTTTGAGGGCGATGTTCAAAAATGAAGAACTGATTTTCAAATAAAAATAGATAGTAATAACTACCCAATAGAACACTCATCGCAGAAAGAAAATAATTCCAAACTGGCCATCTATGAAAGTTCAGTAAATGCCCAAGAATGGTTAGAAAAGAATTGTTCTAAAGAAAAAAGAGAACAGATAATTGACTTACTTATCAATAATAAAGGGTTGGAAGGAAATCTAAAAGTAGAAAATTTTCCTATGCTAAAAGTATTGTATTCTTCCTTTAATCCTATTAAAAGATTGTCACTTATTAATCTACCAAGTCTTATTTCTGTTAAATCAACTTCAAACGGTCCAATTGAAGAAGTAAAGGTTAATAGGTGTCCTAACATTCATCACTTTATAATTAAGAATAATCTAATTTCTAGTTTTGATTTTAATAGTTTAAATCCAGAAAAGTTGACTGAACTAGATATTAGTAATAATAATTTTCCTGAACAAGATTTATCTTTTCTTGCTCTATTTGTTAATTTAAGTGAGTTGTATATTGGTAATCATAATGAAGAAAAAGTAAAAAATGGAACTTACAATCATTTTACTGGTTCTTTAAAACCTTTGAAAGATATGAAAAAATTGACATATTTGGCTATTGAATCAACTGATATTGATAGAGGATTAGAATTCTTATCCGCTAGTGTAAAGAAAATAAATTGTTATAACCGTGGTCAAAAGGATAATGCTGGTTGTCTAAAAATTAAAGAGGAGTTAGAAATGTGCTCTCGGCTTCCATGAGTAAGTGAAGAATTACAAAAAATTGAAGAAGGCGAAATTGATTTTACCCACCATTGATATAGACTTGCTCCTTGGAGACAAGCCAAGACTTTGCCTCAACAGTTGGAAACTGCTAATGCTACTATAAATACTGTGCGAACAGAATTAAGGATTATTGTTGATATAAATGCCGACAGTTTAAGGCCTTTTAGATTAGCTCGAGACAACTTACCTGAAGTTCAAAACCGTTTGACTAATATTGAAAATCAAATTAAGAACATTTTAGGACGCAATAATGATAATGCTCTGCCAGAAAATTGGATAGAACAAATACCAAATAACAGAACATTGTTGCAAAGAATGAGATCTCCTGAAACTATAATTGCAAGTGCCATTACAGGAACATTTGGAATCATTGGTATCCTTATCACGGTTTTTGTAAAAAAATAATAAGTAGAATTAATCAATTATCCTTAAAGTCTACTCTTGAGTTTCATCAAAGGTTAAAAGCCTTGGCAAGTAAAGAAAAGTGTCTTATGATAGAGATTTTAGAGCAAGCGATTGAACTTTATGAAAAAGATAGAAAAGAAAGGAAAAAAGTAGGAAAGGGGAGAATATTGTGCCTAAGGTTTCACAAGAGGAGGTTCCATAAAAAAGAGTAGAAAAAAGACCTTTTATGGAAGTTCCAAATGGAGAAACAGAAGGCGGTTCTAAAAAGAGGAAGATTGGAGAATAAAGACAATTGCTAAATTTAAATTAAGTAAAATGTAATTATAAATAGTAAAAATTAAAAATTAATAAATATGACAGTAAAAGAAATTCAAGCCCAAGAGGCATTAAGTTATTCTTCGGACAACAACGAAAAACAAAATTTATATTTGAGAGATTTGAGACATTAGAAAGTAGTTGGGAAAGCAGATTTAGCAACTTTCCTTTCTACTACAACCGAGAAGTTGCAGATTAATGGAGATGTTTTTTCTTATTTAGATACTAGTAAGTGTGGGAGTTTTCCAATTAGAGAATTAAGGTTTCAACTAGATGCTAGTTCTAAAACAGTTGACTTCAATTTGAAAGATTTTCCAAAACTAACTAAACTTGAAATATTTGGAGGTAGATCAATCAATAGTCTAGATTTAACCTCTAATGCTAAGTTAGAAGAAATTGAATTGAATGGTGAAGTGGCAAGAAATCTCGACTTAAAAATCTTTTCTCACTTAACTAATTTAAAAAAGTTGAAATTAGGTTATGTCAATGGTTCTTTTAAATCTTTAGAGACTTGCATAAATCTCGAACATACATGTCGAAGATAAATATCATGGTGTAATTCCTAAGGATGGAATAGAATACTTAAACTTAGACAAGTTAAAGCATCTCTATTTAGGTTTAGAACTTTTGCCATATAACGAGAGATCAAATAGTGGTTATACTGGCAAGTCTAGATATTCGAATCCTGCGATAGATCCTGTGAAAGCAGCATTAGAACCTTACAATTGAGACATTAGAGCTTGAAAATTAGTTAATTACCCTGATTTAGTAAATAGTGATAAAAAAGTAGTAATACAGGAACTAGATAAGAGAATTACTGAAGTAGAAAAAATAACACCTGGGTTACAATATAAAAGCAAGTTAGAAATCCTACAAGAGTTTAGAACCCAAAAATTAAAAGAGGTAGTTTTTCCCTAAGGGCGGAGGTTGGTAAAAAGGAAGAACAAATAAAACTGTTAGAGCAAGAAAGAAAGGAAAACGAACAGTTGAAAAAAGAGTTGGAGCAAGAAAGAGAAAAGAATATCAAACTTCAAAAATATTTAGAAGAAATGAAAGAATGGAAAGAACAATTAGTAGCCCATATTGAAGTTGCTCCTAAGTCTCCTTACTAAAAACTTGGTTAATTAACAGTTTGGTGTTGGACAAACAACATTCCAATACTTCTCAGGCAACAAAGGTCTAATCTTCTCATAAAGATACTCTTGCCTTTCTAAACTCAAAGATTTGGGTTCTAAAATAGTAAATACCAAGTTTTTAATTTCTTCAATAATCTCTTCTCTTTCTCTGCCATCAACATTCAATAAATCAAACTCAATTCAAGGACTGTCCACAGACTCTTTTGCTTTCACCATTCCAAAGTTAGAACTTTCAAAAAGGAAGTGATGATACTTTCCTATCTTAGGTAATTTAATAAAGTAAGGCTCTAAACTTTCCCTAATGTCGTAATACTGAAATCCCTTACCATTCTCATAGAGTTGAACTTTATTATAGCCTGCTGGACTAGATTTTCTCACTACTTCAGCAAATTGTTCTATACTGTAAACAATAGATTTTTTATATCTCCTTTTAATCATCCCAAAATCACCATCTACTTTGGATTTATTATGTCCTTTCATCATAAAACTTTGTTCGATAGTTTCATAATAACCTTTTATTACTAAAAATGAATAAAATCACAAACTAACCTTGTTTTTATTTTGACCTGCTGAATTATCACAATTAACTTTGAGGTGCTTTTCTCCACGATTAAATTGTTTAATTCCGTTGAGGCATAGACTTAGGATTCCATTAGGTCCTTTATTTAATAATTCATTCTCACCAATAACATAATTAATTTGTTCCTTAGTGGCTTCATTGTGAACTCCTGCTAAGTGAACTTTGTAACGAGTTTTGAAATAGATTTCACTAGGCTGCTGAGGAAAATGAGGAACTCGAACATTTTGGGCTCAATCAACGCTATAATGGGTAGTGGCATCAACAGAACAATGCTTTACTTTTCCTTGGTTCAGTAAATAGTTCTTTTCGACTAATTTTCTATCTTTTCTGGCTAGTTTGGTGTTTTTGTTATAGTATTTTCTTTGCTTTTTTGCTCTTCTTTTATGAATTTCAAGTTTTTTTTTTGAGTTTCTCTTTCTTTCTCATCCCTACAAGAGTGGATTTCGTTTTTGAATTTATGGCAAGTATCACATAAATCAGTTCTTGGTTTCATGAATTTGATATTAGGAACTAGTTCGTGTCATAAACGGCGTAATGCTTCATACTTTAAATTACTTTCCTCCTCTACACTTATAACAAAATCATGATGAACTGACCTATAACTAGCATAAGTAGGTAAAAGGATAATCTCTCCACTAGATCTAACCTCAACTGCAATTTTGCGAGCATACTTTTGACTAGGATCAGGCTGGCCATGTTCTTGGGCATATTTTTCTAAGAACTTCTTTACTTTCTTTTTAATGTTTTCATCAATAGTCATTTTAGTGGCTCACCGAGGTGTTTTGTTAAGGTTGCCGTGAACTCTTGACTTTATTCTTTGGTTGGCTAAGTGTTTCTTTATAGTCTTTAAATATTTTTCACTTATCCCTAACATGTTGATATAAGTTTCTTGGCAGATGGGGATTTTATAATCAAAAAGATATGCAAATCTTTGGTTAGTCCGTTCTTGCTTTTTCAGACGAGGGCTAGCAGATATCTTTTCTTCGGTCTCGCATGATAAAAAGTTGTCCCATCACCAAAGCATCTTGCTCGGCTTTAGGGAGATTTTGAAAGTCGGAGCGGAGTTGAGCAAATTCTTCTGGGGGAAATTTTTTAGAACAACTGCATTCACAACCTTTTTTTAAGAATTTAAGGGCTTTTTTATACTCTTCTTTAAAATTATTATATTCATGAGTTTTCTTCATAAATATATTTTATATTTTAGACCCTTTTATTGGAGTATTACCCATATGAGAAACAGTTGATACCGGAAAGTCCAATATCCAACCCAAAAATATTCTCAAAAGTAATAGTTTGGAAGTCGTTTATCATTGCACTGCACTTAGTCGTTGGGAAATTTTTACTTGTTTAATTGAAAAAAAACCTCATAATTTAACCGAATTAACTAGTTTGTTAAATAAGGATTATGCTAATGTTTGGAAGGATGTTCAGGCTTTACAAGGTTTAGAAATCATTAAACTAAAAAAAGTAGGCAAAGAAATAAGACCAATTGCTTTATATGACCGATTAGTGTTTGATTTTCCAGTTATTCCTACTACTCTAAGCCATTAGAAAATTCTCAATTATTTACTGAATAAGTATGCCCATCTCATTAAATTTGAGTAGTGTAATAATATTTAGTGAAAACGAAAAAGTTATAAAATTTCTTTAATTATTAGAGCAATTAGACTACTTATTTTGTGAAAAGCATAGGAAGAAAAAAAATAAATCAAGAATGTTCTGTATATATTGCCCAAATTATAATCAAATATGAAATTAAAACAAGAAATCACTAAATTTTTCGAAGCCAATCTAGAATTTTCAAAGAAAAGTAAATCACTCTATAATGATTACAAAATAAAAAGTTATACTTTTGACCAATCTCAAAATCAGCACAATCTTACCGTTATTGCCAGAAATCCTAATGATAAAAATCAAACCAATTATCAACTGGAAAAAGTTGGAGATTTACATCCTGAGTTAGTAAAATGTTTACAAGAAAGGGAAGAAATAGTCTATTTTTGAACCGGCAATAAATTAAATTTAAGCGACCTTTTTTACTTTGTGGGAGATGGTTATCATTGAACAGTATTTCCTAAGAAATATTTAACGGAAAAACAAGATGCTCAGGAGTATTTAAACAAAAAATATCCCAAAGAAGGAAGAAATGAGGTAGAAAAATTAAACCTTGTTGGCATAAAAGAGGTTGGTTGACAATTACTAGCAGGAAAATTAGACCTCTCTGATTTTGTTAATTTGAAATATTTAGATTGTTCTGATAACCAGTTAACTGGTGTGAATTTAAGCAATTGTTTGTCACTAGAAAAGTTATACTGTTCGCATAATTTATTAACTAATATTAACTCGTTATTAGGCAAGGTTAATCCCAAAAAAATGAAAGAAATTGATTTGTCTCATAACCGCTTTTCTCAGACAGATTTAAATAATTTTAGTAAATTTGTCAAGCTTGAAACCTTAAATATCTCTAATAATTTTTTCACCGGTTCCCTACTACCTTTGAAAGAATTGACTAAACTACAAGAATTAAATATTAATAATACTAATATTAAAAGTGGTTTGGAACACCTTCCTAATAATTTAAAAATGTTCCAATGTTGCGACCCTGATTACGAAAGAGATTGCTTTAAATCAACTAGACTCTACCAAATAGAACTACATGATTTTAATGGCGACCTCCATGCTTGAAAAGAATTCTATAATAGTCCGGCTCGGGAGTGGTTGGATAGCCAATACCCCCACGATGAAGATTCAGAAGAAGAAAATTTTGGATTGGACTTATTAGACGAAGAAAAAAACACACTTAAAAAAAGGGAGGAAATTACTGAGTTAGACATTAGCAATCAAAATCTGCAAGGACCATTAAAACTGAAAGGGTTTGTTAATTTAAAAAAGTTGAATTGTGCCAATAGTAAATTAACTAAACTAAATTTAAATAATTGTCCTAATTTAATTGAACTTAATATTTCTAATAATGAATTTCGGGAGTTAAAATTTCTTAAATATGTTTCTAAACTGGAAATATTATCAATCGCTAGTAATCAAAAACTCCTTCCCCAAGATTTAAGTATTTTACTTTCTCTTCAAAATTTAAAGGAACTGAATTTTAACCAGTGTCCTTTTGAAGGAAGTTTAAAACCCTTACAAAATCTAAGTAAATTAGAAAGGTTAAACATTAGCGATACAAATATTAGTGAAGGTTTGGAACATTTACCAAAAAGTTGCACAATACTTTATTGCAATAGTGAATATCAATATAAATCAGTTAAAATTATGGAAGAATTAGATAAAAGTAATTGCTGAGATGAAAAAGGAAATCATAAATACTATGTTCCGGCTAAATGAAGAGAAGACAAACAAAATAGTATTACCGCTTCACTTATTCCTTTGGAAAGACTATTTGTGATTAGAAGTAATATCAAACAATTCCTTAAAAAATGAGGAATCAAAAAAGAAAATACTAAAAGCGAATTGAGTAAGTTAAAATCTCCGGAACAGTTCAATAAATTTGGCTACCTCAGTGGTGTGGAATCAGTCTCTACTTCGACTACTGTTTTAGGAGGCGCTTTAACCCTGTTAGACTATTCTACTACTGGGGGAGTAATTGCCTTGGTGGCTCCTTTAATTGGTAGTGGAGCTTCCCAAATAAAAACTAGTTATTATGAGAGTGATAAGGATAAATGGGATGAATTTCTAACCGATGCTGACAATTTTTTAGATAATTACCATGAATTATTAGGAATACTTAAAAGGATTGGTGGTGGTAAATTAGGGAAAATAAATCAAGCACTTAAAAACCTAAACAAGCAAGTTAGCGGTTTTTTAAAGGAATATGACCAAGATGGTAATAAGGAAATAGAAATTGAGGAGTTAATTAACAAAAGAACTAAGTTTGCCGAAGAATTAAACAAGTTAGAAAACATTATCAAAGCAATGAAAGAGTTAGAAAATGAAGTAGTTAATTATCAAAAGGGTTCTAAAATTGAAGAAAGTGGCGAAAGCGAACAAGAAAGTGAAGAATTAGAATTAGAAAACCGACATGAAGAGACAGCAAAAATTAGGTCTAGGTTAACTTTATGTGCTTTTTGTCAGTTAGTTAAAAATTATTGAGAAGAGGAAAAAAAAGAAACTGAGTGGTGCCAAGTGATTGAACAGCCATCTAAATAAAATACTTGTCTATTTACTTCTTTTTTTTAAAACTTAATGATTATAAATTAGTTAAAAATTTATTCTACATAAAAGGTTAGAGGTGAATTAACGCCAGTAATTTTTTCTAAATTTTTAGGTAATAGGAGTTAAATTTTGCTTAATCGCTTCTCTAAACTTTGCTCTCATATGCTTCCAATTCACTAACTCTACTTCAAAAGGTAAATTAGACTCTGCGAATTCTTCTCGCAACTGACTAATAACCGAGAGAGGTATTTCTTCTTGATAACAAAGATCTAAATCCGAAAATTTTCTAGCTGTTCCTTTTACTCGTGAACCATAAGCATAAAAATGATAAGGATACTTGCCTAATGCTTTTTTAATAATGTCCCAATGCTTTTTCTCCAATTGTAAATTCATAATTTAAATTAGTTAGTATTTTTTATTTCTTTATCTCAACTTGAATTTTAGCAATCAAATATTCTAAATCTTTTAAGAATTTCGGCAATACCTTTCAAACCTCCGCTAAAATATCCTCATCATAACAATGAACAGTTAGATTTCTAGTCTCTAAATATTCTTCTCCTCACACTTCAAATTCCCGAATTAGACCTTCCGCAGCAGCCTTACGAAAAGTTTCTTTAGGACTATATACCTCTACTCCTTTACTCATTAACACTTTTTTCAAAGTTTTCCAACTCAATTCATAAGCCATTTCAAAGGCTTGCACTCCACCCATTTCTTCTAACTCACTACTAGTTCCTTCCTTTAAAGCCCTTGCTAAGATTTTTTTAGTAGTGAGAAGTGGTTGAATATCAATTTTTTCTTTTGGGAGGTTCATTTTAAAAATTTAGGAATAAAAACTAATTCTCTTTAAGGAGGGATTTCTTGTTAAAGTTTATATGTTTATATTTTTATGTAGAAAATTCTAAGTTTTGGAATGGCTAATTTCTGTCTAGATGTTTAGATAAAAGGCAAGTTTAGTCTATATAAAACTTATGAAGAGAAAACAAAAAACTCTCATTTAAACCCTAAAAAACAAAATAATTAATAATTTCTTACTCTTTCTTAATTTATTTTATTTAATTTTGTCATCGGTATCTCCTAAATATAACATTGATATAAGTTTGAGTTATAAAGAAAATCTCTTTAACATCTTACTGAGCATCATAAAGTATGTTTGTTGCTAAGGAAACATACAAAACTAAAGATACTACCTTTTTCACATTAAATTTGCACTTTTGATTACTATTTAAATTACTTCTAGTAATTTAATTAACCCCAAAAAGCGGAAATTAATTATTAAAATAGTAGTAATGTTGATTATTTATTTTCTGTTTTTAAGGGAAGATAAGAAGAGATAATTTTTCAAAATATCCAGTTGACATAGAGTTCTTTTTTTAATAAATTATAATATACAATAAATAATAATTACTTATCTGAAAATCATGAATTTAGAACAAAATCCTAATTCTAATAGTCAAGAATTAGACTCTAAAAAACAGCAATTAAAGGCTTTAGAAACTAAATCTAAAGAACTAATTAAACCTTTACCCTTAGATACTCAAATTACTATCTTACAGAAAGAAATCAAAGTTTTAGAAAATAAAAGTAATAAGAACCATTTAGAAAAGACATTATTAGCCGATAAAAAGAAAGAATTAGCGGAATTATTGAGTAAGCAGAATAATTCTCATGTTAATAATGCTAAACCTAGTGATAAAATCGTTCTTTATATTGGATTAGATGCCATTGGCTTATTTACCCTCTTTATAATAATTGTTCTTGTGGGAATTCGCAAGAAGAAAAATAAGTAATATTAAAAAGTGCATGATAAGTTGAAAGGAAATCCATTCCGATTTTACTCCAGAATTACAAAAAAAATGAGAAGATAGAGGATTTAGTTATGAAGAATGCAAAAAAATAACTACTAGGGGACTAACTCCTCAAGAATTTTCATTAGCAGATTATTTAAGATGAAAAAGTATTGATGAAGAAGGAAACTTTAACGAAAGTTTTAACATTGAAAAATTAAGGAAAGAACATAATGCCAATGATGAATGAACAAAATGAAAGAGCATTAATAAAGATTTTACTGAGTGAAGTCGAAAAAAATGAGAGGAAAAGGGATTTGATTGAAAAGAAACAAAAGGATGAATAGAAATAGGATTTGAAATTTATGAAGAACAAACTGTTAAAGAGTGAAAAGATTATGGATTTACTTCTCTTCAAGTTAGTATATGAATAAGTGCTAAATTAGGAAAAAATGAAGCAAAGTTTGCTACATACTTAAGAGGAAAAAATTATAATAGTTTCCATCAATTAACTCCAAATTTGGAGGAATGAATAGAAGAATACAAAATCTGAAAAGAAGAAACTAAATCTGTACAAGGATATTTAGATTTTATTTATCCTATCGAAATAAGAAAAAAAACTACTTTTTTAGACATTGGTGAAGAAAAACTAGAAGGTTCGCCAAATTTAAAGGAATTTATTAATCTTACTGAAATTTCATGTCAAAAAAATCAACTATCTAATTTAGATTTTTTGCTCACTTTATCTAATCCTGAAAAATTAATATACTTAGATGTGAGTTGTAATAACTTTCCTCCTTGCGATTTGATTATCTTCTCTCGCTTTAAAAATCTAAAAACTTTGGTTATAGATAATTCTCCTTTTTATGGTTCCTTAAAACCTTTGGAAAATTTACATAAATTAGAATTTTTGTATATTAATGATACAGACATTACGGAAGGACTAAAATATTTACCAGATAGAGTAGAATGATTAGCTTGTGAAGTTAAGGAAAGATTACAATCACAAGTAATTAAAATTGCTAAAAAGTTAGAGTTTTATAGAAATAAAGATGAGTATTTTTTTAATCCTCTACTTTGAAAAAAAGACCAGTTGATTAGATCTCTTGAAGAAGAAAACATTAAAATTGAATCTTTAGAGGATGAAATTTTCCACTTAACTAACTTAATTAAACAACAAAAAAAGAAAATAGTTCAAGCTTATTTGCGCTTTAATCCAGAAAAAGAATTATTAAGAAAATTAATCGAAGCTCATTTACAAATAACCAAATGGCGAAAAAAAGAAGCTCCCCTCACTGAGTATGAAACTGAACTTACCGAATATAAAAAAATTCGTAGTGACCTCAAAAGTAAACTAAATGGTGAATTAAAAGAAAAAATAAAAACTATCCTTAGCGATTGCGAAGAGTTAGTAGTTTGAGAACTAGATTTAGAAGACAAACTTAAAGAAAAATCTCTACTACTAGAAGAAAAAAATAAATTACCACAAATAACTAATAATGAACAAGGAAATTATTTAACTAATAATATGGAAACAGAGGTCGATAAACAAATTTCCTTCTATCAACCGAGAGAGAAAAACATAAATAGAGTTGATGGTTTAAAAGAAATAGTTTACAAAAAAACTAATCAGGTGCAAGAGGAAAAAGAATTTGAAAGACTTTTTGGGGAAGTGCGTTCGAAAATAAAAAAGATAGAAAAACTACGATTAAAAAAAAATAGGGAAAAATTGTCTTCAAAAAAAGAAATCGAGAAAAATGATGTTCTCCAATATCTTCTTAATCAAAAAAAGTCCAAAAAAGACCAAAGGAACCAAATATTCACTATTATTTATCAACAACTAACTAATCAAGATTTTGAATTTTGGTTAAAAGAATTTACAGAATTAAAAAAGGTATTAAATAGTTTAAAAAATAAAGAAACTAATTCAGGAGTAGAAGAGTGAGAAAGTTTTCTACAAATTATTAAAGAGAGTCTACAAAAGCAAGGAGCAAATGAAGAAGTAGTAGAAAATTTTTATCAAGTTCAAGCAGAAATAAATGGATTGAGGCAGAAAATAGAAAAACACCAATCTTACATCCAAATCCCACCTAAATAATAACAATTTACCTTAAAAATCCTTCTAATTCTAAGCAATTTATCCAATAAAACCTATTCTTCCGACTTCCTTAATAATTCTTTACATTACTTTTTAATAGTTGTTCTAAGGCTTGTTCATTTTCAGAGTTTTCTTTTATTGCCTTTATGTAATTGATTATACTTAACGACCTCGAAAAAAAGGAATTTTTTTCTGAGCGGTTAGGATGCTACCTAACCACTTACGGCTTAAACTTCTGATTAAAATCGGTCGAACACCAAGAATGTCCAGAGGAAGGGAGTTAACCTCCCTCCTCTTCTTCCTCTTTTCGCACATCTTCGTTTGTGCTTAGAAAAGAATTAAAAAGTCTATAAATGCTTTTCCTCTCTTGGATAAGGCTGAATTTGCTTTCTAATTTCCTTTTCCGCTAATTCTTGATAAGTTGCCAAGTCATAATTTTTTTGAAAATTTAACCAGTATTCAGCACTAACTCCAAAGTAAAAATAAAGTCGATAAGCCAAATCTGCCGTCATCTTCTCTCGACCTTGAATTAATTGGTGAACTATTGCTGGTTGGACTTGAATATCTTGGGCTAACCTTTCCTCTTTCAAATGTAAAGGCTCCAAAAACTCACTTTTTAATATTTCCCCCGGATGAATAGGTTTTAAATCCATATCTTTTACCATAATATAGTAATTTTACTTGCCATATCTTTTATCATGCGGATTAATCTCAATTTCCTCAGCCTGATTAGCACCTTTTTTATCTCATTTAAAAATTAGGCGATATTGGTTGTTAATTTTGATGCTATAATAGTCTTTTTTACCTTTCAATTCCTCGGCGTGATTACCGGGAATTAAGTATAAATCATTAGATTAGTGGTGTTGATTAAAGAATGGAGTTTTTTATAAGCCACTTTTTTGATATTCTGGTATTTTGATACTCATTCGCCTTTTCAGAGGGAGTAAGCATCTTTATCTTTAAAGCGGTTTTTTTCGGGCTTTGCCGTATAGTTGATATCGGTCATATAAATTTTGTTTTGGTTAAAAATTTTTCCTGAGGCTTAATTTTGAAAACTTTGAAATATTCCTCACCTAAGGGGACAAAGCACGGGCTAATTTTTAAAACAGTTCGGTGAATACCGAGCATTTCGATATCACAGTCAATAGTGATGATATTAATGGACTCTTGTGGGGACTTTTTCACCATCATAGTTAATTTTTACTTCCATGCATCCGTTTAGTTTCTCGGTATAGGATACTAATTCCTCCAAGTTAAATTCAGTAATTCTACCAAACAAAATATGGTCTAGTTTTACCTTACTAATTTTGAGTTTCAATTCATTCGGAGTAAGTTTATTTACTCTTTTATAACGAGAGATTGACTGGCAAATTTCATACTTGGTTTTGTCTAACTCACTAGCATCAGGTTTTAAACCAATATTTACACGGTGATAGTTAGGAACCAAAAATCTTTTAATTACTTTTTGGATTTCTTCCTCTGGTGGGAAACTAAATTCTTTTTTATTTAATTCTTTTTTCATAAGATTTCAAATTCTTATTATATTTTAGTTTTACAGTTAACGAATATTCTCCAGTACCCAAGCAGTTTTTGCTGCTTCCGTGATACCCCATTAACCCACAAAAAAACAGAAGAATATTAGAAACTTGAACTAATTTAAAGAGTAAACTAAGTAAATTAGTCTATTTGTACTAAAATAAAGGACTGATTAAAAATGTCTTAGAAACTCATTTAAATCAGTCTTCTGTTTTACTTCTTTTCATTCTCAAACCGAACAGTCTACTCTTTTAAGAATGCCCCCTGACTACCAATTACTCTGCCTGCTGAACCTACTATTCCAGAATATGACTCTACTGGTTACCTAAGTGCCGAATGTCAAGAGTATTTAACTAAGCAAAAGTGAAATAATCTGAGTCAGAAAAAAAAGAAAGTTGAAGTTTGTATTAAAGAGTTATCTAACAAGTGATTTTGTGAGTAAAAGCGGTTATTTAGGAGGTCATTCTATTTGCGTTTGTTGCTGTTCTTGAATTTTATATATTTGGAATAGTTCTCGTAGTTCTACTTCACTACCTTCATTTAAAACTTGTTCTGGAGCCAATTTGACAATATCCCTTAATCAAGCAACAAATTCATAGTCAGTAGGTTGTAATCCAATATTTAGTCAGTCTTGGATTTGGGAGGGGGTAAAATTATAGAACTGTCATTGATAGATTAATTCAAAAGTGAAAGAAGAATGAAGATTAGTCCAAATTTGTTGAACTTCTTGTTTAGGCGAGGTTTGGATTTGCAACAGTTTTTTTCTAGGTAATAATTCAATTCTAATCCCAGCCATTTTTTCTTTATTATTAACAATTACACCAACTCCTACTTTAATGCTTTCTTCCTTTATACCGCTAGATGAATTTGTAGTTCTCTGATACTCTATTCCGGCACTAATAATTCCTTCAGTGCTAATAATTTTAACTTTTATTTTTTTTTCATCACTGCTATTTTTGCTATGTTCAATCATAGCATTAAGACCTAGTAAACCTGATAATCCAACATCAATACCAGCTTTTCCACCTCTTTCTAACTTGTAAATTTCTAAGCAGTTTTTCACTAGGTGATTTAGTAATATTTCTTTTGATGCTTCTCTTTCTTTCTTGCTTTTACTTATTTTTTTTTCTTTGCCTTTTCCTGTTTCTTCATCATTCTCTTCTTCTATTGCCGGAGGATTATTTACATATATGACACCATTACAGGAATTAATTATGCCACTGAGTTCTTGATTTTGAGCAAGTAGGTTTCCCCACTCCTCTTCGCATGCTTGCTGATTCTCAAAATGTTCAAAATTAGTCCTAACAAGAGTAGCGAGTTTAGCAGTATGAGTTTCAAAGACAAAGTCCTTTAAAATATTGAAGATTTTTATCTGTTCTTCAGAAATTCAATCTTTAAAAACAAAAAAAACTTGGTTTATTCCTCCTTGCATCTCATAAGCAACCTCAGTAATTTCTTGAATTATTTTATCACTGGATAAACTAGTGCTATCATCAATTACAACATTATCAACCATTCGGTATCAGATTCCATTTATTTCTACTTCTTCACTTTGAATATTTTTAGTCTTACTAAGTCCTCAATGGTTTTCTTTAAAAATTTCCTCAAAGTTGCCATTTTTACTTAAAAGCACATTGGCTAAAGCAGATTTGCCATTCTCTGCACCGCCAATTAAGAGTACATTTCTAATTTGTAAACATTTAAAATATTCTTCAATAACTTTTTTTATTTTTTGAGCAATATCCTCTATAAGTTCGGATTTTTCAACTCATTTTTCTTCCTTGGTTAAGTTAGTTATTATTTCACCAATTTCATCAGACAACTTTGCATCTTTTTCTGATTTATTTACTCCACTGACACTTTCTTCATCTAAATTTTCTTCTTTTTCCCAAAAATTCTTCTTTCTTTGATATTCTGCCTTGAAACTTATTCCAGGCAATTTAAAAGCAAAATTAAATTCGCTTAAAGTTGCTTTTGGCTTTGACAGTTTTTTTCTCGAAATGCTTAACTCTTCTGAATTTTCACTAAGTTCTTTTATTTTGTTGTTACCTACTTTTGATTGAATGTGTTCAAATATTGTTTGATGAATAGCCTTGCTTTCTTTTTCTATCTCCTCATTCAAATCTTTTATAGCTTTTGATAAATTCTCATTTTTTATTTTTTCCTCTACTCTTTTCAATTGTTTCTCTAATTTTTCTAATGCCTTTCTTAATCTCTTTTTTTTCTCTATCCTTTCATAAACTTTTTTACTTAAATCTTCTAAGCCTTGAGGATTGTAAGGAGCTTTCTGGTAAACTTCTTTTAGGTGATTTAGTAATATTTTTTTGGATTCATTTCTTTTATTTTTATTAAGTTCTATTTCTTGTTTCGCTTCTTCCTCAATAACTCCTTTTATCTCCATTGAAGGATTATCAACATGCACAATGTTGTTTCGACAAGACTTGATTATCTCTTTTAATTCATCACTACTTTTTTCTATTTCATTAATATCTTTCTGACATTCTTCTACATTTTTGAAAGCTCTAAATTTGGTGCGAACTATCGTAGTATGATTAGTAATTTTGTCATCAAAGATGGCTTTTCTCAACAAATCATAAGCAGTTGTTTCATACTTATCAAATCGACCATCCGTGACAAAAAAAACCCTATTTACACCGCCTCGCACTAAGTAAACTGCCTCTCCAATAATATCTAATATCTCCTCCTTCGATAGTTTAGTATCACCAATGCCAGGAGTATCGATTATTCTGTAGTTTATCTTCTTTATTTCTTCTTGCTCAATAAATTCTTGTTCGAAAGTTTCGCTTTGAATGTTTCTAGTTTGACTGATGCTTCCGTCACTTTCTTTAAATACTTCCTTAAATTTATCATCCTTATTTAAAAGTACATTAGCTAGAGTAGATTTTCCTCGACCTGACCTGCCGATGAGAAGTATTTTTTTAACTTCTGTTTCCATCATGATTTTAGTACTTTACGACATTTACTTCCACATTGGCACCAATTGGAAGTCCTGGTATATTTAATCCTAATTTAACACTCAGTTCTTTAAATGAACTATTTCTTATTTTTTCTATTTCTGCTTTTTCTCTTTCATTTTTAGCATTAACTAAACTTTCTTCTATTTCTCTATATTTAATTGTCATAGAGTATATTTCGTCTCATTCTCTCAATTTGTAAATTTCTGAACAGTTTTCGGCTAAGTGATTTAATATCCTTTTCTTGGATGTTTCTCTTTTCCCTTTGTTTATACTTATTTCTAGTTCACTATCGGTTGCAATTATTGGTGGATTATCAACATGAATGATGTCTTTGCAGGATTCAATTATCTTTCTTAGATCTTTAGTTTCTCTTTTTAAGTCTTCTTTATCTCTTTCACATGACTCAGGATCTCGGAAGCTGACAAAATCAGTCCTGATAATGGTAGTAAATTTAGTAATACCAGTTTCTGAAACGGATCTTTCAAATTTTTTAAAAATTTCGGTGTGTTCTTTAGTAAATCTTCCACGAACAACAAAAAGAATTTGATTTATTCCTTCTTTGGCAGAGTTAATTCCTTCTGTTATTCTACTCAAAATTTCTACTTCATTAAAGTCTCTTCTAGTATCACCAAAACCAATATTATCTATAATGCGATACTTGGCTTTTTTCCCTTCTTTTTCTCACTCAAAAGTATCACTGATTTTAGATTTGTCAGTCTTGCTAACTCCAAGGTTACTTTCTTTAAAACCGCTAGTGTTGGTTAAGGCATTAGCCAAATTAGACTTACCACTACCAGTTCAGCCAACTATTAAAATATTTCTAATGTTTCCTTCAGCAGGAGTTATGTTTGGGCCTTTGACTAATTTATCTTTTTCGATGTTAAAAATGAGGTTATCAGATTTTATTGTATTTTTGTTTTCAGTTAACCTGAGACAACCTTTTATGTATACTTCATCCAAATTGGGGCAAGTAGTTAAGTCTAATTCTTTAAGGTTATTGTTGAAACAGTTAATTTTATAGAGATTAGAACAATTAGTGACAGTTAAATTAGTAAGGTGGTTATCTTGGCAGTGTAATTTTTCTAGTTTAGAGCAATTGCTTACATCTAAACTAATTAATTCATGAGAAGAAATTGTTAAAGTTTGTAAATTAGTGAATCCTTCTAGTCTTAAAGAGTTAGTTAAGGTTTTGCCATCATTAAAAAGACCTTTGCCGACTTTTCCATTACTAAGATCTAGTTCGGTTATTTCATCTCTTCTTTTATCTTTGTTTTTTTCATCGCTTTTGCTTTTACATACTCCATCTTTAGGATATTTTTTATTTATATATTCTTGTGCATTTACGTTATTTACCATATATTTTGTGTTAAATTTGTATTTTTTCAATCACTACTAAGACAACTAAGCCAAATTATAACAAATTAGGCAGCAATTGATTTTAATATGCTAATTTGTTATTTTTATATTCTGACCATAGGCAATCATTATAAATAGTTTTTACTAAAAGGAACTTCTAGACTGTAATTTTTTGTAAAATTGTTCATTATAGTTATTAGGAATACTTAACAAAAAAGTAGTTAAAAACTGCTCCCGAATATGTGGTCGGTTATTTAGTAGAAAAGTTAAGGAATAAAGATTTATCTTTGGTTGCCAAAAAGAAAGTGCTGGGAGTGGTAAAGGATTAGTAGCAATCAATCAAAGAAGTGTCAATTTGATGACAAAAAAACATGATACAAAAAATAGTCCAAAAATATTTAAAATAACCAATAAAACAATTAGAGTTCTTAATTTTAATAGTATTTAAGCACAAACAAAGATGTACAAAAAGGGGAAAGGAGGGAGTTAACCCTCCCCTTCCGGACACTTTAAGTGTTCTACGTTTTTTAATCAGAAATTTAAGTCGTAAGTGGTTAGATAATGACCTAACCTAGTGGAAAAATTCCTCTTTTTCGAGGTCATTAACATAATCATTTACATAAAGGCAATAAAAGAAAACTCTGAAAATGAAAAAAACCTTGAACAACTATTAAAAGAATGTAAAGAATTATTAAAGGAGTTAGAAGAATAATTTTTATTGGATAAAATGCTTAGTTTTAGAGGTTGTATAAGAGGGGATTATTTAATGGATATTTAGTGTTAAATGGTTATTATTTAGAAGGTTGTTCAATTTGGGCTTGATGTTGATTTTCTTCAAATTCATTCTTTAGTTCTTCTAAATTACCATGATTAAGGACTTGTTCAGGAGTGAAGTGTTTTAATCCTCTTAGTCAGGAACAAAAGTTAGCATCAGTGGATTGGAGACCAATGTCTAGCCATTCCCTAGTTTGGGAGTAGGTGAAACCGCGAGATTGTCATCGTTGGATTAGTTGAGGGGTGAAATTAGGACAAATATTTTTTCATTGATTAATTCTTTCTGCTTCTTTAATTCTTTCTGCTTTGGCTAAGGCATCTTCTAAAGTGGAAAAACCTAGTTTATTTTTAGCATATCTTTTGCGTTCAATTAGCTTATTGTCCTTATATTCAAGTAAACGGATGGCATAAATAATAACCTTATTAATTACTAAGATTTGGTTATTTTCTAGGGGGATAATTTTTTCGATATTTCCAGGAATATTAGCTTTTTTGGTAATTATTTGGTCTCAGTTTAGAGAAACAAACTCACTTGTTTGAGGAAGTGGGGAAGTAGAACCGGAGATTATTTCAAGAGTGGTATCGCCGTTGTCAAGTTGATTTATTTGTCTTAACCCGCCTTTCATTCCTTTAATGATTGTTCTAATTTTTCCTTTTTTTTTTGACAAATCTGCACCAGTTTTATCACTTAAATACTCTTCAATCTGTTTACTAAAGTTTTTTGTTATATCTTTAGTTTCATAAACTTCTTTACAAGTTTCTAAATGTTTTAACAACATTTTTCTCGAGCATTTACGAATTTCTTTATTTAACTCTTTTTGTTGTTCTGCTCTTTTTCCTTCGCCAATAATGTCTAATGACGGATTATCAACATGAATAATCCTTTTAATAAGTTCTCCATCAAGTTTTTCATCTCCAGACTCCTCATTTTCAGCAACTATCAAATTTATATCGTGAGCACAACTATTTCTATCTTCAAAGTTATCAAAACTAGTTCTTACGATAGTGGTAAAATAAATAATATCTTCATTAAAAATAGTTTTTTTTAGCAGGTTATACAGCGACTTTTCTTCTTTAGTTAATTTACCTCTAGTTACAAACAGCATTTGGCTTAAACCATCTTCTTTTATGAATGAAATCAATTCTTCTAAATTAGTTAAAATCTTGCTATCATTAATCCCCGGTGTGTCAATTACTTGATATTTTATTCCACTTTCTTCAAATTCTTTGGCTTTGAAATCTTTAGTTTCGCTAAAACTATATTCTCCTTCTTTAAATTCATCTTTACCGGTAATTACATTAGCTAGTGTTGATTTTCCACTCCCTGTTCTACCTATTATTAATATATTTCTTGTGTTTTCCATTTCCATAACTTTAAAACCTACGAAATTTTGCAACAAACCTCAATAACAGCTTTCAAATTATCTCCAATAAGTTCAATCATTTTTCTTTCTATGAGCTTTTCATTATTTTTTATCTCTTCTTTTAAGTCATCTATTTTTTTATTTAGTTCAATTACTCTTTCTTGTATCAAGTCTTCTTTTTTTCTTTCGCTTTTTATCTTTTTTAGTTCTTTTCGCAATCTTTTATTTTCTTTCATCACATCATCCTTAATAAGTTTATCTACTTTGTCAAAATTTTCTGGTTTGTAAACTTTTTCGCAAGTTTTTAAGTGTTTTAACAGTATTTTTCTTGATTCTTCGCGAACTGCTTTATTAAGACCGATTTGTGTCTCTACTCTTTCTTTATTACTATCATTAAAATTTATGTTTATTGAGGGATTGTCGACATGGATAATTCTTTTATCACACGAATTAATCATCTCAACGACTCCTTCATTACTTTCTTTAATTAGTCCTTCAATGTCGTTAGCACAAATGTCCTTATCTTCAAAATTAGTAAAATTAGTTCGGACAATTGTAGTGTATTTAGTAACTTCTTTATCAAAGAAAAAATCTTTCAGCATATTGTAGGTTTTTACTTCTTCTGGTGTAAATCTTTTTCCAATCACAAACAAAACTTGATTTATTCCATCCTTAATTTTTTCGCACCCTCTTGCTATTCTACTTATTATTTGAGCTAATGTTAACTGGGTGTCACTAAACCCTATGGTGTCAATTATTCAATATTTTCCCTCTTCTGTCTCAAAACTTACTGTTTGGATCTCTCTAGTTTCACTTGTAGAACTTTCTGCCTCTTTTAGTGCATTTTCTCCACTTTTACCGCTGATTACATTAGCTAAAGTAGACTTGCCGGCACCTGTACTACCGATTAACAATATGTTTCTTTTACTAAACAACTCATTACTTTCTTCCATCTTTTTTAGTACATATTCTTTATCTATTTTTCCATTGGTGCTATTAAATGTAATGTCGGCTTGCTTAGAAAAAGGAACACCGACCACACATAAAGTTGCAAAATGTTCACAATTGTTTTTTAATAAGTGATATTTTCCTAAACCATATTTGACACTGATAGCCATTTCAATATGCTTTTGGATTAATTCAGGTCTTTTAAAGGGAACGATGGGATAATATACAATCATATGGTTAGTTTCCTTATGGTCTTCCATGAATTTTTCTCAAGTGTCTATCTGAGCTTTTCATCTATCACTACCAGTGAAATAGTTACCAGAACCAGAAATATGAACTATTTTTTTTTCTCCTAAGTAAACAACTGCATGATTGAGGTTGAAAGAAGAAAAGCCATCCATCTTAATACTAATGATATCATATTTTTTAATATGAACATCGGGGTCAGATAACATACTTTTTTCTATTTTCTTTTTGCCAACTATATCAGAAAAAGTAATCCCTTCACTATTTTTTTTCAATAAAGTTAAAATAGGAGTTTCGCTGTCCAATTCCTTTCCAAGTAAGTTAGCACTATCCTTTGCTTCCTCTCAAGAATCATTGATAAAAAATTTAATAAAGCGAAATTCATCTTCTCTTTCGTTATATATTGCTAAGGTAGTAGTAAACTTTTTCCTCTTCTCATCTTTACTACTAATAACTATTTTACAATGTTGATTAAATCAAGTAAAACAAATAAACTCTTTTTCTATTTTTCCTTCGATTCGTTGCTTTATTACTTCTGTTCAGTTTATGTTTTTTGATTTATTTTGTAATGTACTTTTCTTCATATTTTATAGTATTATTTTCTATTCTTTTTGCGAATTCTCGCTATAATAAAGATTAAAAGTAAAGTAAAGATAATAAATATTCCACAACTAACAATTAAAACAGTTCTATCACTAGACTTATCATTATTAAGCATTAGAACTACTCTGCTTTTTTAATAATTCCTCTAATTCTTTTTTTTACTCTCCAAAACCTTTTCTTCAACCTTAGTTTTAGTAGATTTGCTAGTTAGGACTTGAATTTCTTTCTGTAAGATAGTAATTTGGGTATCTAAGGGCAAAGGTTTAATTAGTTCTTTAGATTTAGTCTCTAAGTCTTTTAATTGTTGTTTTTTAGAGTTTAATTCTTGACTATTAGAATTAGGATTTTGTTCTAAATTCATGATTTTCAGATAAGTAATTATATTTATTGTATATTATAATTTTAGCGAAAAAAAACAAGGAGGATGAACAGAAAAGTTAACTCTTAGTTGAAATTTGTTTTTGAGATGTGGTGCTTTTGGAGTATTTTTAGTATTTATGGCAATTTATCAACATGGTGCTTGATGAATTGGTGTTGTCATTTTTGCTCTTCTTGCTTTACTGGGACTTTGAGTAATTTTTTCCAGTGGAAGTAAATTTAAAAAACTTGAACGGGAAATAACTAGACTAGAAAAGCAGAAAAAAGAATTAAAAAATTCAGTAAGATGGTAAAACAGAAAAAAGATTAGTTGACTAACTTCTTCTGATAAAATCAGTAAGCGAGGGCAATTATTATTAGGATTCAGATTATTTTCATAAAAGGGTAATGTTTTTTTCTTAGAAAAGGCTAAAATAAGACTGGTTAAAGGTGTTTTCTTATTCTTACTCGATCATTAAATTTTAATTGAGGAGTAAGTAAAGAAAGATGAGGATAGAACCAAAAGAACTAACAACCAGCATTTAAACCATGTGTAAATGCCTTAACACTTAAAAATTCTTCTAAGTCCGGTCAATAAATACC